CCCTGCGACTATATGGCGCGTTCCTACATTTATTTGATTAGAAGACAGCGGTTAGTCACCATGAGAGCATCATAAATGCCTAAGACAGTAGTATCGCCCTGCTTATGCCTTACTTTGCTCCTTTCTTTCACGAGTTAAGAAGTGAGGCTCTAAAGCAGTTGCATGAGCCCGGCGAAGCCGGGCTTCCAAGAAGGAGGAGAGCTCGGCGTTAGCCGGGCGATCCGACTGGTTACGTACTATTTTACATATCCGGATTCTCTACAATACAAATTTCGCACCGGATTCAGCACACTGACACCTTTGCGCTGCTCGTTACTGGCTACCGCACTCATTACGACCCCCCTCCCAGCGGCCAAATACGACCCCTCCCCCTGTTGGGGAGTCCCCAACAATGATGTGCCCTGGGGTGCAATCCACTTCTTTTGAATGAAAACGCGTGCATAGTTGCGCAGCGGCTTGGCTGGCCTACGTTGTCAATCGACTTGATTGGCCTACGTTCCAACATGTTCTCACCTGTGACACCGTCCGATCCTCAAGACAACCTCCTCCGAGACCGCATTAGGACCGCTTTGGTCTGCTCCTCATTCGAGTAATTCGAACGTGGGTTACAGCTCTGGAAAAAAGGAGGTTCAGCGGAAGTGTAAACTAAAGCTGGCTGTATCTACCAACCTGCGAAAGTGAAGCAGAACACCTCACAGTCTTTAATCTTCCTTTTCCGCTAGCTTCTACTCTGAAAGTGCTCATCAGATTCATAATCAGAATTAAGTCCTTGCGTGACTTTGGATCATTCTTATGTCATCCTGCACATCCTGCAAGAAAACAATGCTGTGGCATAAAAAGCTATCAAGCTGGGAGGGTGGAAGCCAAGGTCATGATGGTGCAATGGTCAGCGCACTAGCCCGGTGAGCGTTATCTCCAGATATGACCCTCGAGGTCATTTCTCTTACCGGTAGCGCAGCGTCTTACCACACCCTGCAATAAGATGTTAGGTGCTTCCACAGACCGGCCCTTTTTGTCGACGGGGGGTGGGCATGTACTACCATTGCTTCCGCTTTGTTTCGGCTCCGGATTGCCGGTTCCGATTCCGGTTTGCAAATCTCACCCTGGTAAAACTTGTGAACCCTTGTGAAGCTGGTGCAAGATCGTCTAGCCACCATCCTAAAACGTGTCAACTCGAGAAAAGGCTACCTAGATGGGTCGGCACATCTATGGAAAGCAGAATGCCCCCCCCCCCCCGCCCGTCGGCGAACTGCGCTCAGACTCTCTGTACTCTGTGGATTAGAGTGCTGCAATCCTTAGCAAACTCCTTCCCGGCCTACAGTGAGACCTCTTCAGAGATCCCTGCCTGGTCATCACCATAACGTTTTCAAGCTGCACTGAACAAATCATCATTACTTTTTCAGGTTATACTGAAACGAAGGACTTGGCCGCAAATTCAAATGGGAATCTCGAAGTCCGTTCACTCGATTTTACACAATGGTACGTGGTGAACAAGGTAATCCCGAATCACTGAAGTTCATTTTGTTGCTTTCAGGTACCCAGGAGGCATTCTCCACACGAAATCCTGGGTCGTTGACGGCAAACACTTCTATGTTGGCTCTGCAAATTTTGATTGGCGTTCACTAACTCAGGTTTGTAAGTTTCGAATTCGTTTATCCACCTAAGGACTTGAGGCAAAAAGAGCCTTGGGAGAAGAAACCGATTTTTCTATGTATGGTAAAGACTGGTCGACGTTCGTGATTGCAGTTTAGGTGTATGGTTCAAATATGTCATGGATGTAACGGAGGACAGTGTGGGTGATCAATGCTCATCCACATCATCTAGTAATTAAAACAAGCAGAACTGGAAGGCTTGCTCCGTCTGTGACTGTTCCTCTTCTTTTAGTGCAACGGGGCACCTCCAATGTCCCTGTTGTTCCAATGATATAACCACAAAGATCGGAATTCAAACAAATCATATTAATTGCTATCACAAGAATGCTGAGTTGTGGGCAAAAGGGCTAGAAAGTTACGGCGTAAGCCGTTAAGCTGAGAGGGTAAAAGCGGCCCTGGTGGCGTAACGGATAGCGCACTCGCCCGGAAAGCGTGAGGTGCGGGTTCGACTCCCGCCTGGGGCACGACTTTTGCCCACAACTCAGCATTCTTGTGATAACATTCGGAACGCGTACTGCAGCGTGAACAGCAGTTATCATGTCAATTGCATTTCTTTTGGATTTTCTATATTGCTCGGCTGGAATTTCAACGGTTTACCGAATGTGTGTTACTGACTCATCTAGCTGATCATACATAATCGCAGTCGAAGATCATACTCATATCATAGGTCAAGGAACTTGGCATAGCTGCATTCAACTGCCCTTGCCTTGCTCAAGATCTCACCAATTTGTTGGAAATCTATTGGGATATGGGAGCACCGGGAGCGAGAATTCCACAAAGGTAATTTTGTGCTTTTATTTTTTTACAAATGGGACGCGACTGAGACCCTGTGTTCGGGAGAGGTGAGGGAAAAATGCGTGCGTAAGCAAACTGATGGTGTCGGAGTATTTCGGAACGGTGGGCCTTCCCTTCCTAAGATAGCTCGTTGTAAGGCAACCAACACGACGGAGTGTTCGAAGGCTCATGGATCAGTCATAAACTTTGATATCAATGAGCTAGAAATTCGCCCCTCCAGATCATGAAAGCTGCAGTCCTAATGCAGCTAGTAAAACCATGTGCGGAGCTCTCGTATCTAGTTATTGTTTGACTTTTTAACACATTGAACGCCGCGTGAATTGTCGGCAATACACGCGCATACTCCCGTTTCTCGCGTTTGTGTATTGCCCACAATTCACGTTTTGTGGGTCGGTTTTTTCGTGGGTATGAGTGCGACTTGAATCATTTTCACCAAGTATATGTTCAGTGAGCTTTGCTTATGCTTAGTTCTTGATGGCGCGAAATAAGCTGCTCATTGAAGTAATTCATTAATATTACAAAATACAGTCAGTGGCGCGGTCGGTAATTGCACTTCTTATGATAGCTCCGCATCACTACAATGGTAGTAAGACTTCTAGTGATAATAAGTGTTAATTTACAATACATTTGATAGTGTTTAATTGATTATGATAACAATACTTATGTCGTCAAAACTGACGTTTAGATCTTCTACGTTGTCCAGATCCATCTATGCAGCTAAAGAAGTCATCATTCATAATGAACAATGTAGAAATGAGCGCAAAAGTAACCAGAATGAGCGTGTAAAGGGGCATGCGGCACAAAGACTCCCGTTTCGCGCGTTTGTGTATTGCACGCAATTCACGCGCGCGGAGACGCAGGAAGTAAAAACGGGAGTCGCCGCAAAAACGCCGCGGCGTTCAATGTGGTAATTTTGATAAAGGTTCCATGGGCTAATCACAGTTGATAGTGCTAGACAGGGCAGGAGAAGAGTCAATAAAAAGTGTTTAGACATTTAGCGCTTTTCCAAGTTGATTTCTGCGAATTAGAGGCTCGTACAACGAGCACAGAATTATGGACGATATTTTTGATGAAGGGCTATAGGAACGTCAAAAACGAGTGGAAATGGTTCCCTAAGGAAGCAAGAATCGCACATCCACAACAATTTGCCTTGAAGTCTTGCGGTTTGCCATTGGCTCTTTTTATAGAATGCCCCTTCTCTTGAGTGCTTCAAAAAGAAGGGGCACATCAGTAAAGAAGCACAGTGCTACCACTGTAGGGTCGGCTCCACCTTCACAACCAGAGTGAAATGCAGTTTATTTGACCAGCTGGCTCCCCGGATTTGCCGGGTGATATATCATGGTGCATAATGCCTCTCCCCCAAGCGTTTTGAGGAGCGGCTAATCGGATCACGAACGAAATCGAATCAGATTGACATGCAAATTAAGAGATAGATGCAGCCTGCCATTTGACTATTAGTCCGTAACATAGAGCATTAAATTTTGTCGGTATATGTATGTTGGTATGTTTGTCGGTATCTTTGCCCATCTGCAATATGCACCGAGGGATGAAGAAAACGGTAACAGATAGCAACTCCTGGGAAAACTAGAAAGCAGTTTGCCCTTCAAAGGTATAAATCCTAGCTCAATGTTTTTACTCCTCACAACATCCATATAAGACTCTAATTACACGCTCCGAGACATTCAACTCGATGGTCGTGTTGCAGGAAAAGGGAACACCCTGGGTAGGAAACCATCGCTGAGGAAACGGGTAGGCAGCATCTCTGTTGTTATTCTGCCACGATGGTAGGATAAGTAAAGAAACCTCATGGGTACACGAGCCATTCCTTGAGATGTTTTGGAAATCGCATACTGAAGTGAGCGCAACTGAAAGGGAACCACCGTTAGGAACATCAAAGGGGATAGGAGGAACCAGCGTTCGCGAAATCCATCCGGTGACTGGATTTCGCCTCGGAAGGAGCTCATGCGGAGATGGACTGAAGGGTAGCAGCCGCCGGAGGTGATGATGTGAAACAGTGCTACAAACTGTATACTCTTTGCATAATCTTTCTGTTCCGAAGCACATCCTTTCAATGAGAAGGTGGGCGAGCGATCCGTTCCTAAATTCACCACCATGTCGATCACTACTGAGCAAGTGTCACTAACCCCTACCCACTAAACACTAAGAAAAAGTCCCAACAATTGTAGCGATTGAGCAACTTTTGCTCTACAGCAACTAAGCCGAGATCACCGTTTTTTGTAAGCTACTGGACCCCTATCCTTGTGATCGTGCCCTCGTTATTTGAGTGCCTGTGCAAAACACTTCAATACTATTATTTTCAGTTGGCCGGATAATTACGCTACGCCTGCCTATCATGAACGCCCAACATCCGTACCACAATCGCAAGGCAGTCAGGCGGTGTACTTTTCGGTAAAATGAATTACTCTCTGTCAGTATCATTAGCGCTTTTGTTATGTACGTAGTAAACGAGATTTTCGTATAGCTGAACGAGAATGAGAAGTAGGGGAAGTTACCACGGTCCAAGGAACTATTACGTTGGAAGAGATTCCCGCACGTCTATCCCATCGCTCGCAATATACTTACTTCTACGATATTCATAGAATTTTGATCCACGTTATAAGTCACCAGTCGCCTCGCCGGCTGACGCCGGCGCGGCTCCTTCTGATACGGCCCGGCTGCGCCGGGCGGGCGCGGCTTCGCCGCGCGTATTTTCTTTCACATATTTCTAGACTCAACTGATATCCGCCTTTTGTTCTGTACTCCACTTTTTTCCGGTGTCTGAAGTACTCTTGAGCTATTTTACAGATTCTTCGTCTGACTCCGCCCACCTCGGAGCAGGCCCCGCCCACAATGTTTGTGCCCCACAATCCTCACCGGCGACCCTCTGCTGACCTTAATCCACGTTTTTTCCGGTCTTTGAAGTGCTCTGGGACAGTTTTAGAGAATTTTCGTCTGGCTCCGCCCACCTCGGGCTGGCCCCGCCCACAATATGTCTACCCCACATTTCTCAATCGGCGACCCCTTGCTGACCTGAATTCACTTTATTCCGGTCTTCGGAGTGCTCTGGAACCGTTTTACAGACCTTTTTGTCTGGCTCCGCCCACCTCGGGCTGGCTCCGCCCACAATGTTTTTGCCCCACAATCCTCACCGACGACCCTCTGCTGACCTTAATCCACTTTTTTCCGGTGTCTGGAGTGTTCTGGAACCGTTTTACAGACCCTTTTTGTCTGGCTCCGCCCACCTCGGAGCAGGCTCCGCCCACAATTTTTTTGCCCCACAATCTTAACCGACGACCCTCTGCTGAACTTAATCCACTTTTTTCCGGTATCTGGAGTGTTCTGGAACCGAGCTACAAACTTTTAAAATGAATACCCTGCGATTTAGGGCAAGCTCCGCCCACTGTGGGCGGGTCTCAACACACTTTGAGCGTGCCCTATATTCGCCAGATATTTACATTCTACACTGAGTTTTTGCGACTTCCAAACACTCGCGAACCGGGTTACTGAATTTTGCGAGAAGCACCGCCCACCTTGAGTACGCCCCGCCCATTTAGGGTGTACCTGCCACAGTTAGTCTGGCGACTCCTTACTAACCTTAGTCCCTTTTTTCCCCATCTTTAAGCTGCTCCGGAAGCGAATTATGAACATTTTTCTGCGGAACCCCAAACTTTCGGCGAGTGCCCCGCCCACTGTGGGCGGGGCTTCCCATAGGTCAAGTGTGCTTTTTATTTCTTGTCCCATGCTCTACCCATCCCCACCTTGACCCGACCTCTCCAAGTCGTTCTTCAGGTCGAACCGAATTTCCGGACAGACAAACAAACTTACAAACTTACAAACAAACAAACAAACAAACAACAAACAGACAAAGCGAATTTTATATATGGGGTGATGTTATAAGTCTAGGGGGATTGTAATAGGTACAAAAAGTCGCCTGATATACTTGTTTTCATAACACCCGGAATTGCAGTTCCGAGCGTGAGATTCTAGAGTGTCACCAAAGTTGCAAAATCGATCATTTGGAAGCTCATACTGCCGATGTCATTGCAAGCAGTCGGTTCGCTTTTACGAGAGATGCAGTGGGCCGATTCGCCGCCTTTCCATCACTTATTCGTTTTTTTGATAAATCGACCGCTAACTGATTACCACGAGCAGAGCAAGGAAGCTGGAGGCTGGTTAATAAGACTCCACTGACACCCACAGCACGCGATTGTAGTCGAAATAACCTTGGATCAAATTAGACCGTGAAAGAGGGGGATGGGTCTCAAGCGCGGGGCTCATCCAAAAGTTGGAGAAGCAGGGTTACTTAGATGTTTCATGGTTGAATGATGAAGGAGTTATCATGACTTCTGTTGTGAGGAACACGATATCTGAAGGCGGAGGCAAGCTGCTAGCTCAGATGTAAGGAGCGAGTGGTGAACAGAAGTATACTCGAAATCCCTGAGATCGGGTAGGCGGAGCATTCGAACACTGTAAGGAACTGGTTACTAGTGGAATATTCCAGTCTGGGACAACTGTCATCTTGTTCTGTGTTGGACAGAGACACGACAACGATTGTGTCGAGATGAAAATATCGCATCAGAAGCGTAGACGCCTTAAGGGTAAGTTGAAACATGCGGCCACGCCTACCCGATCTCAGGGATCTCGAGTGTACATACGGTGGCCGTCCGCAACGACTTCATTTATTATTAGACATTCAAAACACAGTAAACGCTCGGACCTTTCTGGAGCGTGGGAGCAATCTGTCATGCGTGCATATATACTCCTTATCCCTGAGGCGGGGTAGGCGTGGCATTCGAACATGGCACAGAACTGGTTACTCGTGGGATATTTCAATTTGAGACAACCGCCATCTTGTTCTTTGTTGGACAGAGACGTGACCACATTTGGGTCAAAATGAAAATATCTCTCCAAAAGCATAGCCACCACGACGTTTAGTTGAAGTACGCAGCCACCCCTACCTCATCTCAGGGCTTTCGAGTGTACCTTTCTTGTCATTGGCAATGCATGACTCTGCGTTTTCTAAATAACACTTCACTGGATTCAATTCCTTACGTAGACGCTTTCCTCATTAACATACGGTAGGTCAAGCTACTTCTGCCGATTCATTCGAGAGGTTACCGGATTGAGAATTTCCTTTACTGCTAAGAGATCAGTAGTAGAAATGTTTCCAAATTAACATCACTGTGTGCAGGTAGAAGTTCATCCTGTAAACGCTCTGTCATTAAACCCCTGTGATTTAGAACAACTCAGCCGCTTTCCCTTAGAGATTACCTCCCTGGGTTTCCTTGTGCCTCGCAAACGCTCTGTTCGTCAGCTATGCAGATCAAGCATGTCCTACCGATTCATTTGAATGAGGGAATTGTGGCATTGATTTGAGGAATTCTTTCATCGTTGAAAGAGACCAGTTGTAGAACAGTTCCTAAACACTCGAAAGAGCACGCGGTGGAAGTTCTTCCAGTAAAAGTCGATTTCCCACAGGACCTCTACGAAACGTGGGAAAATTCGCCGAAGATTCTTCAGACAGTACCTCCCTGGTGTCCCTCACGCCCAGCAGACGCTTCAAGTCGCTTTCGCTATATCAATCAAGGAATTATTGGATTACTTCGAGAAAGTGTTCTTTGCTATGGGAATACTAGTGGAACTGTTCTCAAATTCCTACCAGTGAGTGCGGGTAGAAGTTCTTCTAGTAAAAATTGTTCGCCAACTGGACCCCTGTGAAGCCTAGACGAATTTGCCAAAGATTCCTCAAACAGTACCTCCCTGGTGTTTCCTACACCCCAAAGACGCTTTACTCGTCAACGATCCGGTAGATCAAGCCACTTCTACTGATTCCCTCATGGAATTATTGGATTACTCCGAGGAAGTGTTTCATTGTTAAGGGAACAGTGGTGGTCCAGTTCCCAAATTCCTACAAAGGGGGCCAGGTAATAGTGTTCCCAGTGAAAGTAATACACCTGTTGGCCCCTATGGTCCTCATAAAAATTCGCCGGAAGTCTCTTAGACAGCGTTCATAGTTCGCGAGAGCAGCGGCGATTGCCGAGGTCGCCGCGATCGTCGGTACGTGGCAGAGCGCGCCCAACGCTATTATGGACCGCTCGCTTGATAAATAAGGAAATCAAACTTGTGAGACCTTTTTTCTCTTAATAATGGCTACTAAGCCGATAACTTACGACTTTCTATACATAAGCGGATCTGGAATATGAGGTAAGGAGGTTTTCCTTTTTTTAGGTCGGGATAAGAGCAACTCCATTTCCTGGGTGAGCTTCTTTTTGTCTTTTTTGTTTTCTATGTAGTTTGTCTTCGAGCCTCGACAAGATTGAAATGCTTTATTAGGCCAACGTTTCGGCGTCTTCGCCTTCGTCAGAGCCTGAAATGGACAAAAAACACATGAGACCTGCCCGCTGAAACGCCTCAACAATTCTCAAGACAATTTCACTAAACTAGTAAAACGACCCAACGGTATCGATCGATAGTGTTGTGGCTCACCTTGATCTAGACGCCGCAGTGCGGGCTCGACCACCCTGAGGTTGACTTGAATGCGGATTAACCATTACCAGTTACACCCTCCGACCTCACGGTAGATCAAAACTTACAGAGGTCGAGGAAAGGCGCGAGTTCGCGGGTCACAGCCACACACTCCTCCTTTCTATTCATTTTAGGGTCCTTGGCAGTGATCCAAAATGCCTCCAATGTCTTACGCGCCGTGATCTCGGGCTCCTGCGCTAAGATGACCACCGACACGTCAAATGACGTGCCTCCATGGTGTTCAACTCGATGAGCTCCGAGTGGAGTTTTTTGTTTTCATTTTTTCAATTTATACAAGCGCCTCAAAAGTTCCTGTTGTCTAAACTGTTCCAACTTCCAAAACATTTATAGTTTACAAGTCGAGTTCAAACAACGAAAAAAAGAAACAGAAAGAAACTCACCTAGGAACCAAAACACTAATCATTTTACGCAACATCAACAGGTGAAAACTTTATAACCTCATGTATAAGCTCGACGAAGCTTCCACGCTTTTTGCTCATTTCTATCCTGAATCGAAAAAGGAAATAGAAAACAAAAGTTATTGAGTCCACCTTTCTTTATGTTAAACCAAGGTCAATATTAAAGGCACGGTCCGCGATCAGGTATCGAAGTTGAAAATATGGCGTCAGGAGGTTAGAGTGGTCCGCGACGAACAACCTTGTACCGGTTTCGCGGCAAAAAATTCTATGGGAGGGGCGCTGTAGCGCAATATAGGTTCAGTGGCTCCTCCTTTTTTCCAGTGACTCCGCCTCCAGACTCCGCCCCTAATGACCGACTTCCAGTGGAAAATGAGATTGCAGGACGAAAAAGCATGATAATCGCCACTTGTACGATCGTAGAAATCTTATCGGTGAATCAGCATATGCAGCAGCAATCAGCATGTGCATATGAGGGCGTAGTTTTGGAGATAGAGTTGATTGGGCACGTACAAACTGGGATCGAAATGGGGTTCTATCTAGGGGTGGCATGTTTTTTGTGCTTTTTTTGTTCACAGTCGAGTTACTCAACCCCTTGTCGTCTATATGGAACCCCCTAATCCACCATCTGAGATGGCGAGTAATCGCGGGTTCTTCCTTTAAAACAATTCTAGCTAAAGGCAAAAAAGCGTGAAATTGGGTCGCTTCTTCCTAAAAGCCTTCGGAGCGGTCCAAGTAATAGCGTTGGGGCGCGCTCTGCCACGTACCGACGATCGCGGCAATCGCGGCGATCGCCGCGATCACTAAGATCGCTACGATCGCCGCGATTGCCGCTGCTGTCGCAAAGTATGAACGCTGCCTTAGACCTCCCTGGATTCCCTCTCGCTTCGCAGACGCTTTGCTCAACGATCCGGTTAATCAAGCCACTTCTACTGATTATTCATGGAATTATTGGATTACTCCGAGGGATTGTTTTATTGTTAAGGGAACAGTAGTAGTCCAGTTCCCAAATTTCCTACAAAGGGGGGGGGGCAGGTAATACTCTTTCCAGTAAAAGTAGTTCACCTGTGGGACCCCGACGATCCTTATAAAAATTTGCCGATAGTCTCTTAGACAAAACCTCCCTGGATTCCCTCCCGCTTCGCGGACGCTTTGCTAGTGAGCGATCCGGTAGATCGAGCTGCTATGCATCCATCTGAGGGAACTATTAGATTATTCCAAGAAATCATCCTGTTGTTGAGAGAACAGTTGTAGAAAAGTTTCCAATTTACAAAAATTCGTCGAAGAAGTCTTAGACAGTATCTCCCTAGAGTTCCTTGGCTACGCAGACGCTTTGCTCATGAATGGTCCGTATATCAAGCCATTTTCGCTCATTTATCCAAGGAATCATCAGATTATTTCAAGGAATTGTTCTATTCTTGGGAGAAGAATAGTAACCAATTTCTTTTGGAAGAGGGCCCGTAATAGTTTTTTCAGTGAAAATAGCTAACCTGTGGGACCTCTGCGAAGACTAGAAAAATTCGCCGAACATTCCTCAGACACCCTCCTGAGTCCTGATTCCTCCCCCTCCCTCATACCTCCTTGGTGTTTCCTGCGCCCCATAGCCGCTTTGCTCGTCTACGATGCGAAAGATCAAGCTTTTTTGCTGACTCATTTACGGAATTATTGGATTACTTCAAGGAATTGTTCTATTGCTAAGGGAACACTAGTCGAACAATTTCCAAGTTCTTAATAGTGAGTGAGGGTAACAGTTTTTCCAATAGTATGCCCATTGGACCCCAATGAATTGAAAAAGAACTCGCCAAAGAGTTCTCAGACAGACCCTTCTCGGAGTTCCTTTCTCTTTGCTGGCGCTTTTCCCATGATCCGATATGTAGGTGCAGCCGCTCTAGCTATGGAAGAATGATCTGCGGTCGTTTGAAACTTGCCTTCACATGTCAAAATAACGAGTATACAGTCGTCATCCTTGCACTTGATAGTCAATGTCAGTGCGGCTGCGTGCGGCGCGTCGCACCCGTACTGCACCAATCGTTGAACCAGGAAGTGACATTACTGTATTATATCCTTCGTGTTACTCGTTTTCTATCACTTTTTGTCGCATACGCGTTTCAACGAAAAGGCTGAGAAGGCTTCAAACAGTGTGCACGCTCCTTCTCGCCGACACGCCCCTATCAAGTGCAAGGATGACGACTGTATATCCCGTGGTCTGTAGCACTATTGTTGAGGACTTGACCTGCACTCATTTCTTTAGGTATCTCCTCCAGGGTTTCAGTCATGCGGACGAGAATCGGACATCGATGCCATGGTGAAACTTATTGATGAAGCTGAGGTGAATTTGCACATGTTCTCAATCTTCAGAACAAAAAAACATGGTCATGATATACGTTTGTTAGCAACCGACCATCCCCACTGAATTCATGTTTGGAAAAATTTCGAGCTCGAGTCCCTACAAATGGTGTATCTCTTCAGCATAGCTTGACTATGGTGGACCTTATAGACCAAACCTTATCACAAATTGGTTGGAGAGAGTCGGCCTTGTTTGAGGTTCCGAAATCTCCGAGAAACGCGATACCCCAGTTGTCAGTGTGGCTTAAGAGCTCAAATTTTTGCCAAGATGAGCTTAATTGAAGCACGTGATGGGATTTGTTTCAAATCGACAACCTTTTCACAGGACAGGCTGGACATGGCTGTGATGGACTACTCTCCATGCACGCGCTATTTAAAGCCGTTGAACTCGTGAGTTTATGATTATAGGACTTTCTTACTAATTGTAGCTGGCACTAACCAAGAAACACCCAAAAGTGAATTCCGGTTCAAACACTCCGCCACTGACAACGAATCTAGCGTATCGTCAACGTAAACTACGGATTACGTCTTTGACACTCTGTGGGAATACTCGAAAGGTAGCCTGATCACCGGTTGAACAAGACTAAGATTCGAATTTAAATTATGAGCCACACCCCTCCGGAACTTTTTTGAGTGCACGTTGCCAAAACGAATAGACGAAATAACCAATGGGTTCATGCCGTTGTGATCATGCATATTTCAGATGGTACGGTAGACTCGACGAAGCAGTCCGAAGAGCTGCTTTCGACAGGCAAGTCAAGGTGAGGTGATGTTTCCACAAGATCATGAAGTTTGATACTTGGACCTCCGCTAAAGGTTATCATTACTTTACCAGGTACGGTTTATGGTCTCGCGCTGGCCTCATACCTCGTACGCAACGTATTCCTATCTCCATTCACTGCAGGATATTAGCAGTCAGCTTCAGTGCAAATATCAAGGTCTGTTTTAAGAAATAAGACATCAGTGGTCTGTGTTTATCCTGTTTTTATTCCGTGACCTACAGCTGGAAAATGCATTCGAGGATCAATTGAAATTCGCTTGATTCAAGTGCCTGATATGGATTACGGTAGTATTCCATTCGCTAGAGTTTATCACAATAAGTATTTTGTTACCGAAAAAGCTGTATATGTTGGTGAGTAGCAGTTTTTACCGAGTTTGGCAGATGAACAAGAGTGAGCTTGAAGTTCTACACAGTCGTTATCGCTGCGAAGCGTGTGACGGGAGCGTGAATTGACCGCAGCCAGAAGCGATCGGAGCCGATCGTTGCGGCAGTGGGGATGGCATCATTTAGAAAGACCGGCTTGACAGCTCTCCAGTTCACGCCTCCGTCACACGCCCTATCTTTGCAAGGATTATGACTGTAAATTATTGATTCGGAAGTCACTAAAGTGCAGCTTGCATGGAGCGCAGTTGTTTTCCAATGAGAATCAAAATCTAGCAGAAGACGAGCGACTTCGGGTTGAAAGGTAGCTCAGTCGTTGGGAGGAAGTCAGCGTGCAAGGAGTAATTGGGGGTGGAGGATGAAGCCGACGAACCGTAGCAGAATTCCGATCAGAATTCTGTGTTAGTGTTGGGCATGTAATAGTGACGCCTAAACCCTCTCTTTCCTCACGAGCGTGGCGAGTGGAGCTTCAAAGAATTTCGTGTTCCGAGTTCAGTTAAGCATTCGAAATTTCGTAGGAACTTCTAATTGGACTCCTGACTATTGGAAATATACGGCAGGAATAGGAATGGTCGTGCGATCGGATGACACCAGTCAAGAGTCATTTATGGTGAACCAATTCGCAAAGGTACCTAATTCGTAATAGTGATATCCAGAAATAAGCACACCAACATCTTCACTCTAATGATCTATAAAGATCATTCGATAGTTTTCATCGCTTACGAAAATGGAAAGATCACGCGAAAAAAGTGGAAAAATCGAAAGAATTCTTTGGAAAAGGAACGAGGATGGTAACGAGGATAACCTGAGCTGCATACAGCTGTATGTAGCTTGGATTACGATCCTCCTTCCTATTGCAAAGAACGCAAGCAGCACAACTTTTGCTTCCAATCACTCGGGGGTGAAGCACACTGAACCGACTGAGGACCCGTCCACGGTGCTTTCCTTTTCAAAAATCATGCCCATCTGTTGTCCGTAAGCTCATTTACAAAGGCATTCCAACGATCCTCATGCCAAGCACATGCTACGTGCAAGCTTTCAGAAAAATCGCCCTCACCTTTTGTAGCAGAACAAGTACAGCAAAATAAAAGGCATTCAAATGGATTTTATGGCATGCTAGTAATGCCCTCTTCCAGATTTTCGAGAGAGATTGGACGTCAAACTACG